GTTGACGTTCGACTATGGATATTTCAGATGTGAGGATGGAGATATGGGGGCATGAGCTTTGAAAAAAATCTAAAAGAACTACTCCTTCTGCTGATAGTTACAGGTATATTTATTTATATCAAATGGCAGGCGTTTTGATGGCTATCATTAGCCCATTAGTTAACTTCAGACTTCACAGAGGGGAAGAAATATCAAAGTGAAAAAAATTCGAGAGGGAGTGGGAACAGAAGAATGTTTCTAAGATGTAAAAGAGAGACACAAAGGTAGAAAAAGGTGAGGTGAGTACTGTGGAAGTAGTCGAATATGACATACAGTGGGGGGTGATGGTAGTTTTAAGTCAGAAGTCAACTACCGGTTAATAGACTTTTTGCCGCATGAGTATACGTTGCCAGGGTGTACCACGTGGAGGTAAGTCTATCGCACACCCCAGTTACAGATATATTGAAAAGGCACTATTAAGTACTATCATCAGGTTTAGAATTACTTTAATGCGTGATTGTGTAGCCCATCCCATTATTATTATTATTATGCTTCAGGATAGCAGAGGTAACCCAACGCAGCAAATCATCCAATGAGTTCCGTTTGGTTTGCTACAACATTCTGGCCATTATGTACAGTCGAACAGAGAGCGCTCGCAAAGTGTACTTCCGTCATTGTCCAGCCCCCTACTTGGACCACAACTACCGCTATCCCCTAATTTATCGAGAACTTCTTGCCTACCAAGGGGATATTCTCTGCTTGCAGGAGGTGGATACTACCCACTTTCAACAGCGTCTTAGTCACTACCTTCAGGAGGCTGGTGGTTATGAGGGTCGCTTCATCTCCAAGCTCTCTATTGATGCGTCCGATGCGATAGAGGCTTTGCCTGCTGTTCAGCCTATTGAAACCTTCGAAAGAAAGGTGGGTTTTAAAGGGCTGTATTCTTTTGCTATTCACATTTATTTACCTTTGTAAACAAGGTTGCTAAAATAATTGATGAGAGAGAGAGGGAGACCGGCTGTCATAGAGTGGAGTAGGATAGTGATTGATTTGCAATCAAGGTAAGAAAAATGAAAATGAATTCGCGTATGTTAAACCCCAACAAGAATCATATTTCCATCACGATCAGTTGTAGATTTATTTTAGCCATGGCAACGACGAATCGATTTTGTATGCCCTCATTTCGTGAATAGTTTTACAGATGTCCTCCAAACTACTTTGAGAAAAAAAAGTACAAACATAGTGGTAGTAATTGCACAGAGAAAAGCTCGTCTCCCTCCTTCCTCCCCTCTCCACTCCCCCCCCCAGATCCAAATAATTCTATTAACGAGGGCTACAATTGAGACAATGCTGTCAAATATTGTCTAAGGCCTCTGAGTTAAAGCTTTATTCGGAATGAGCAATTCAAGTCTCTCTCTGGTGGTCTTCCTACCAGTTTACGGGCAGACTCTGTTCTTTGTTTATGAGTTGGATTGTCTGGACCAAACTGTGATGGTTGATATGGTAGTGCTAATTATAGTTCAAGACTATTAGTATTACTGCTTTGGTGAATTTCGTACCGAGGCAAACTGACAAACTGACAATGTACTTTCGTTGAAGAGTAAAGCTCACTAAGAGGGAGTTAGGTTATTATTGAGGAGAAATCGACCGACAGCTTACAGGCCAAGTGATGATTCGTGCAAAGAAAAGAGGGGGAATAGTGCAAAAAGAGAGTTAAATCGATAAGCAAGG